GGAAGCACCGGGGCCGAGGAAGTGGTACCTGTGTGTTCAGAGCTGCAGGGCGCCAGTCAGCCCGGGCTGCAGAAGCCTCTGTGGGTCTTGTCTGAACTGCCCCGGCGTGCCCACCTGCTCAGCCGATGCCGGCTCATGGGAGGGGCCGCAGTTGATCAGGTGGCTGCCGTTGTCCAGTGTGGTGGGTGCCATGTGCCACTCCAGTGGCACGGGTGAGCAGCTTGGTATGTGAACAGATTGGCAGGGACCTGGGGACGGGCGCCTTTGGGGTGCGAGGAGGACGCGCTGATGTGTACGCACTGCAGGGTGACCACTGGGTCAGGCTTGCCCTCAGTGCCGCGCCTCGTGCCACCCGTGCATGGCATCCTGCCCCCCCGGCGTGTTCCCGGGTTTCTGGGGCCCTCGTCAGTGGGGCACAGCCGTGTGCAAGATGACCCCCTTGGAGCTCCCCGGAAGGGCCCCCCAGTGGCATCTGTAGCTTGCTTTGGGGTTTCTGTGGCTGTTGGTCAGTGAGCCAGGAGCTGAGGTGGCCCCAGGTGTGTCTCCTCAGGCATTTTGTGGGCCCCTCTCTGGGACAGCCTTCTCTTTGCTGCATCTCTGGGCTCCCTTTCTGTGGAACTAAGGAAAACAAGCACACAGATCACACTTCGATCTTTGCAGTCTCAGGACACAACAGACTTGCCCTTTTTATTTTCACATTACTCTCCAGACCTTTCCCGACTAAGGAAGGATTCGGCTGCCACTAGTCACCAGCAGGGCATTTTGTGGCAGGCTGTGACCCCGTTTCAGGAGTCAGTGGGCTGGCTGGCCGAGAGCTCGCCGGCCGGGGGGGATCGGGGCTGTGGCATTTCATTTGGCTTCTACTGGTGACAGGGATTCTTTGATTTCACTTATGCTTTCATTTCTTAGCTAGTAAGAAAAACCAGTAAATTCCTGGTGTGGCTTGGGGTGCTGGGTGCTACGTGTAAGTATTGCAATTTATTATTTTCTATCATCAAATATTTTATTCTTTTCCCCAGTGTGCTCATGGGAGCTTAGAAGACCCCAAAAGTGTAACCCATCACAAATTAATACACGCAGCTTCTGAGAGGGTGCTGAGTGATACCAAAACCATCTTGGAAGAGAACATCCAAGACCAAGGTAAGAGCCTCCCCTGGCCGCAGTGGGAGCGGGGCCCAGGGAAAGGCCCCTGCAGCGCTGAGTCAGTGTGTGCGTTGGATCCAAGCAAGAAAACCTGTCCACTGAAATGGCTTTATTCCCCCTTACAAAAAGCACAGTGTGCATGATGGAATATAGGTGAAAGCCGGCCGAAACAGAGCAGCAGCATGCATCTGAGAAACCAAATGTGAACTTCAGGTTTAATTCTGTGTCAAAGCAAAACCAAGTTCTCCAGAGCTGCTGCAGATTTCACTCTGGCCCAAAAGTGCAGGGCTGGCAGCTGTGTCGGGTCCTTGGAAGGTGTTCTTACTACGCGTCTCCATCCAGCTGCTCACAGCTTTGTGTCTGGAGGCGTTTGGGGAGAAAACCCTGGTTTTCTGTGTGCCATTCAAAGGATGATTTTAATTCTGGATTTTCTTAAATAATCAGATTTGAAAATACAGGGAGTGTTGTTTACAGACCCCCATTGAGTGTGATGGCCAAGCCCAGGGCCGGGGCTGCGGGGGGCGCCCCATTGTGGGCTGTGGCTGACCTCACCTCACCTCACTGACTCCAAAATGGAGCCCATTGCAATGAGAACATTTTGCAACATTTCTACCAGTTCTCTGCATGGTTGTCATGGTGGGGCTGTGCGTGCCTCCTGGGCCACCGGTCACCAGTGGTGGCCCACAGCCAGGTTCTTGCCAAGCCTGAGCCTGTATGTGAGCCAGGCGCGTGCAGACATGAAAACTGAGGGAAGGAGGGGCTTGCGTAGACACTCGGCTTCGGAGACACCCAGAGAGGGTCCCTGCTTTTCTGTGCTTGGGTCATCTTGCCATCGTGTGGGTATAAAACAGTAACCAGCCTGATGGACACCTGTTTTTCCTAGATGTCTTGTTGTTGATAAAAAAGCGTGCTCCATCTCCACTCCCTAAGATGGCTGACGTCTCAGCAGAAGAAAAGGTAAGTCTCAAAGTTGGGGATTGGAGGTCCTTGTGAGTAAAAGCCCCTGCTGAAGCCCCTTAGAAAGAAGCGTGTGTGCTTAATGTTCACAGAGCCAGCCCAGTCCTACAGTTACAGGACATAGGGTCCCAAGGGGTTTTCTGTCATGGCTGAGCTGGGTGACTGATGCCTGGCCTGGCTGCTGGTCACGTGACCGGCGCAGGGAAACCTGGCTCTGCTTTTAGGCCCAGAGGGGAGAGGAGAGGACAGGATGGGAGAGGAGGGGTGCTGACACACTCTCAAGGCAGGCTGAGGCGTCTTGCTGCCATCACGGGGGCCTGTGCGCGCGCGGCCCTCCTCTCCTCAAGCCCCCCAAATGAGCCCTGACAGAAAGCTTAGAAAGTTGCTGAAGAGCCCACTTCCCCAAAAAAAGCAAGGAGCATGAGTGCAGAGGGGGGCGGCAGAGGGCGCCCTCGCCCCTCGCCCTGGATTGAGTCCTGGGGAGGCCCGGCCGGCCACCTGTCTCGTCTGTGTCTTGCACAACAGCTAGATGTCCTTGGAGTTTGCGGTCCTCCGCGTCTCCCCTCTAACGAGGTGTCGTAGGAGAATCGTGCAGGGGCTGCCCAGCAGCTCGACCTCCGGAAGCCTAGTGTAGAGCTCACCCGCCCACCGGAAGCTTGGTTCTGTCCACTGCCCTTTTCCGCTCTTCCATCCGGTCTCAGGCCTGTGCCCACATGCATCGTGTGCTGTTCTAAAGGGGTAGCCATGTTCAGGTCACAGTTTCCCCTTGTCTCCAGGNGTGCAGGAGGAGAAGATTTTCGCGGGCAAGGTGCTGCGGCTGCACGTCTGCGCGTCCGACGGCGCCGAGTGGCTGGAGGAGGCGACCGAGGACACCTCGGTCGAGCAGCTCAAGGAACGCTGCCTCAAGCACGTAAGGCCGGCCGGCCGAGGCTCCAGGCCTCTCCGCCGCCCTCCCTCCCTCCCTCCCTCCGCCATGGTGGGGACGGCGCCTCCCGCCCCTTTTCTCAGCCACCTCCCTCCCGACCCCTCGGCACCTTCTAGGCGCCCTTCCCCGAGCGGCACCGGGCTGAGCGCTGTACACCCCGCCCTCGCGTGTAGCTTCTGCAGCCGGAGAGGTCGGAGCAGATCGGGCCGCAGAGGCTCGGAGAGGCAGCGTCGCCGCGGGCGGCAGGGCCTCCTGGCTTTCGAGCATTTGTGCTGACTTGCCGTTGGGGCGAGGCTCGTGGGTTTTTGTAGCGGCTCCCCCAAGAACTGGGAATGAGCGCCCGAGGATGAAGGGACCCACAGTGGGGACGTCCCTGGCCCTTCCCTGCAGAGCCTGCTCCTTGGAGCTGTGTCCTGCTGGCTGGCATGAGAGCCGGGCCCTGGCCCTGGACACTTGGGCCGCTTAGCTGGACGCCCTTAAAATAGTGCCTCTGCTCCCCTGTGGCCTGTAAATCAAGTGGGTAGGTCCGAGGAGCACTTTTTAAAGCTTTTCCGCGTGAAACCGGCTTGCAGAGCTATTTAGCTCCTCAGGTTGCTCAGTCTTGGGACTAAGCTTTATCTCCGCGAACTTCTCCAGCCAGAAGGGCGGGCAGGCTGACATCTGTCCGTCACCCCGGCTGCCTAAGGAAACCCGACACTTAGCATGATGTCTGGTTTCCTTGTCAGAACTTAGGTGGCAGGAGGCCTCGGCCTTTAGTGTGGATTCCGTGAGACAAGGTCCGTTTCTATACCTGTGACAAGGTTTTCGTTCAACTGCAGCTAAGGAGAAGCTTGCAGTGAGGTGACCACCCGCAGAGAGACTTCGGAGTCGCCTCTGTGACCACGGCTCTGTGACGGTGCCCTGCGGCCGGGCAGCACCGCTCCTCGCACCCGCGTGTGCAGGGAGGTTTGGCCGCATTGCGACCCCGTCGGTGTGGCTTTGCCCTCCAGATCGCCACCAGGACCACACGAGGCCGGGGTGCTGGGGCTCCAGGGGTGTCGCGTCTGAGAGCCAGGCCCTGAGAGGCTGTGTCCTTCCCCGCGAGGAAGACGCTCCCGGGGGGCCAGGCTCGGAGCGGCCCGGACGGATGAGCCGGCTGAGGGCCGACGTCGGAAGGCTGGGCTGCGCCGGTCCGTCCGCGCCCACATGTCCTGTCACCTGCTGAGGCGGGAGGGAGAAGTCAGAGCGGGAATTGGGTGGCATTCCGCTAAACTCACGCGTGGCGCAGGCTTAGAACTATGAGAGTATCGTTTCACGAAGGGGAGCAGGAAACGAGACCGGTTTGAGGCACAGACGCTTGCTCGCGAGTCCCAGCAGTGCTTGGGGTGGTGCAGCCCGTTTCAGTGGGACACCGAGGATTTTGTTCCTGATACTTTTCCAGTCAGTATTGAGATGCATTGCTGGGGNGACGGTGCCCTGCGGCCGGGCAGCACCGCTCCTCGCACCCGCGTGTGCAGGGAGGTTTGGCCGCATTGCGACCCCGTCGGTGTGGCTTTGCCCTCCAGATCGCCACCAGGACCACACGAGGCCGGGGTGCTGGGGCTCCAGGGGTGTCGCGTCTGAGAGCCAGGCCCTGAGAGGCTGTGTCCTTCCCCGCGAGGAAGACGCTCCCGGGGGGCCAGGCTCGGAGCGGCCCGGACGGATGAGCCGGCTGAGGGCCGACGTCGGAAGGCTGGGCTGCGCCGGTCCGTCCGCGCCCACATGTCCTGTCACCTGCTGAGGCGGGAGGGAGAAGTCAGAGCGGGAATTGGGTGGCATTCCGCTAAACTCACGCGTGGCGCAGGCTTAGAACTATGAGAGTATCGTTTCACGAAGGGGAGCAGGAAACGAGACCGGTTTGAGGCACAGACGCTTGCTCGCGAGTCCCAGCAGTGCTTGGGGTGGTGCAGCCCGTTTCAGTGGGACACCGAGGATTTTGTTCCTGATACTTTTCCAGTCAGTATTGAGATGCATTGCTGGGGGTCTGGGGACACGATCCTACTTTAAAATGGGATTTTCGTCCCCTCTGCCGTCTCTCCAGGCGTGGAGGATCCCACCCAGGGGGGGTTCACGCCCAGAGAGCCGGCAGCACTCGGGGGCCTGGAGCCGAGTCTCCGAAAGCGAGCCCAGCACCGGGCCGTCCGCTCTGTCGGCACCGGCGCTCAGGCAGGCATACGTCAGCGACGGGAAGTCTCAAGTGTGTGCTTGAATGTCACCCTGGAAACCAGCCCCGTGTCAGCTCACGCTCCTCCCAGGGGTCCCCTGGGGCTTGCTGAAAGGAGCTCGTGTTCTCCATTCCCGTCTCCCCTCGCCCGTGAGGGGGACAGTGTGGGTTTCTCTCCCCCCACGGTGCTCCTGGGAGCTCCTGCGTTGCTTGTATTAGAGACGGCTTTTATTACCGTAACTCTTCAAGTCGCGCGTTGCCTCTGGTTTTATGTGAACGGGGATCATCATGGTGGCCCCTGGCGCCCTCTGCCCAGGAGTGGAGGAAGGGGCAAAGGGAACCGTCTCGTGTGAGGTTAAGAGGAGGTCAGTGATTTCAAAAAAGTGACGCCTGTGATGTGGTGGCTTGTTTTCTGTGTCTGGTAAACTCATGCCACTGCCAGTGCGGGACAAGGTATCTGCTAGCGTGGCTGTGAGCGTTTCTTAGGTCCCGTGAAGGTGTGGCTTCAGATGACAAAATACATTAGCGTCAGAGAAACTCCACCCCGTCCCGGTCCTGGGGAGGAAGCAGGTTCCGCAGGCGGCAGAGCCCCCCTGCCGGGCGGCCGCACCCTGGCTC